TCTCTCTCTCTCTCTCTCTCTCTCTCTCTCTCTCTCTCTCTCTCTCTCTCTCTCTCTCTCTCTCATCGCAGAGGGGAGTGTGCGCAGAATGAAGGTAGAAAAGGTGGAGGGAGGAGGACGCACAAAGGAGCAGAGGAAGGGGGCAGTGGGGAGAAGCGGAGGAGAGGAGGAGGAAGGGCGGAGGCGGGGCGGAAGGGCGGAGTCTCCCACGCGAATGTGCGCTATTTCTTTTTTCTTTTATTAACAAGTGGACCCGCCGCAGCCACACTGCGGCCAAGGAGAGGGACAAACACGGGGGCGGGGCTGTCGTTGTCACACCGCATGGGCTATTTTTATTTTTATTTTTGTCGTCATATTCACTATACACTAAAAAAGAATTAACTGTGGCAGACTGTTCCCGACTGATCAGGAGGTTGTGTGTGTGTGTGTGTGTGTGTGTGTGTGTGTGACCGAGAGAGGAATTGTGAGAGAGGGACAATCCCGCTCCCTCTCTCTCTCTCTCTCTCTCTCTCTCTCTCTCTCTCTCTCTCTCTCTCTCTCACATCCTATGTCCACCCCCTCCCCCCCCTCTTTCAACCCTTCCGCTCCTTCTCCCGCTCCTCCTCCGACGGCTCCTCTCCCCGTTCCTGTTTCCCCTCGCGCTCCTCCAGCTCCTAACCCCCTCCATTTCCCCTCCTGCTCCTCCTCCCACTCCTCCTCCCGCTCCTCCTCTTGCGCCTCCTCCGCCCCTTTCCGTTCCCCCCCCAACTCCTCCCACTTGTTCTCCCACTCCTCCTCCCGCTCCTCCCACTGTTCGTCCTCCGCCCGCTCCTCCTCCGCAAAACAACGTGACAAAGATCCTGCCATAGCCCCGCTCACGCTCCTTCTCCCACTCTTCCTTCCTCTCCTCCTCCCTCTCCTTCTCGCATTCCCCCTCTTGCTGCTCCTCCCGCTCCTCCTCCTCCCGCTGCTTTCTCTTGCTCTTCCCCCCGTCCCTCCTCCCCCTCCTCCCGCTCCTCTTCCCACGCCATAGACGCGCTCCCACTCCTTCCCCGCTCCTTCTCCCACTCCTTCGCCCACTCCTTACGCTCTTTCTCCCACTCCTCCCACTCCTCCCACTCCTCCCACTCCTCCTCCTTCCCCTCCAGTTCCTCAGCCAAACAATGCGACAAAGATCCCGCCATAGCCCCGCTCCTTCTCATGCTCCTCTTCCCTGTCGTCCTCCCTCTCCTTCTCCCGCTCCCCCTCCTGCTGCTGCTCCTTCTGCCGCTGCTTCTACTGCTCTTTCCCACGTTCCTCCTCCCACTCCTCCTGCTCCTCCTCCTGCTCCTCCCGCTTTTCCTCCTCCACCTATATCTCCTCCCGCTACTCTGCCTCCCTCGCGTTCGTTAACCACCTCCCCATTTCCCCTCCCACTCCTCGTCCTACTCCTTCTATGGCTCCTCCTCCCGCACCTCATCCGCAAAGTCTCCATGGACGACGAATCAGATATGGAGCTGATCGGAGCAGATACTACACTTGGTCGTTTGGGGGGG